GAGCTGCAGGCCCCGCGGGCACAGCAGACCCCAATGGCGCCCACGGCCACGCGCTCCTGCGCCGCGTCCGTCACGGCAAACAGCACGCCCGCGGCCTCCGAGGCCGGCCGCGCCAACAGCAGCAGCGCGAAGTCGCGGAAGAAGGTGCCGCCGGGGAAGTGCTTGATGGCCGCCTGGCCACCGCCTGCCGCCGGCCCGAAGGTGAAGGCCGGTCCCACGTCGGGGTCGTCCACCGGCTGGACCTGGGGTGGCAGGGGCGCCCCCAGCAGCTGCAGCAGCCCCAGCTCAGCAGGCGCACCGTCTGCAAGGAGGGGCGGGTCAGGCGGGGCGGCCGGGCCCCGGAGCCAGGGCCTGCAGCTCCGCCAGCCAGACGCCGGCCCTGGCCACAGCCCACTCCCGGCCCCGCCTCAGCGCCAGCCCAGTGCTCAGAGCCCAAGCCCCCAAGCCTGGACCCCACACCCCCGACGCTGCCTCAGAGACGGTGCCATGAGCCGGAGCAGACGCCAGAGGGCTGCACAGGAGGTGGGGCCCCCCAGCACCCCGTGCCACCACTGTGCCCTGCCAGGCAAAGGCCACAGGTCCCCAGGTTTTGGGGTGCCCTGGGAGCTGTGTCCATGCCAAGGCCGGCACACACACGCTCTGAACACCAAGGGACGCACGGCCGGGCGCCGGGCGTCTCAGCATGCTGGGTGGACGCAACCCCAGGACACTGAGGATACAGAAAGGGGCCTCCCCGGGGGCGTAGGGTCAGTCCAGGGAGGAACCCCAGGCGCACAGACCCCGCTGTCCCTCGCTTCCCCCCCAGCAGTGGGTCGCGGTGGACCCGCCTGTTCTGCTCCCCACTCTGTCCCTGGGGCGTCCTCTCATCCCACCTCAGGCCTGCACCCAGCTCTTGTGTGCACAAGCAAACACATCTTTCAAGAAAGGAAGAAAGGGGTGTCCATGCCCATGGCCAGGGACCAATGTCCCGGTCAGCCCAGCTCGATCACTGACCGCTTGGGGTAGGACTCGGGGGAGGGCACGCAAATGAGAGCCAGGACTGGATGCAGAGCGGGGGCCACCACGGGAGGGCGCTCTGGGTGCGGGCGGGGCCGTGCCCAGGGGCAGAGGCCCTGTCCTCTCAGCCGGGCCCAGGCTGTGGCACAGAGGGGCTCAGCGTGAGCCCCACTGGCAGCGGCCAGTCCCGCTTGTCTGAGGCCAGGGGCAGGCGAGCCAGGCCCACCTGGGGGCCATGGCCCTCCCCGTCACAGGCAGAGGCTGGGGCGAGAATGGGGGGGCACCAGCGGGAGACCTGGGGGAGCGACCACAGCCCCGCCCACTGCCGCCCACGCCCGCCCAGGGACAGTGGCTGGGAGGCCGCTGGGTGGTGGGCAGACAGGTGGGCGCTGGGCAGTGGGTTTGCGGCCTTCATGAGCTGCAACAGTGACGGCCCCTTCACCCCGGGAAGGTCGGTATCGGGGAGACGGCCGCAGGCGCCCACATTCTGTGTATGTGACCTAACGCCAGCAGCCAGGGCCACCTGAAACAGGCCCCGGCCCCACCGGCCCTGCAGGACCCGCCCGCCGGCTGCTGCCCTCCTCAGCGACAGAGGCACGAGTGGACACCCTCGGCCAGCAGGGGCCCCGCGCCCGCCGGGGGGCTTGGGGAGCCTCAGGGGACCAAGCGCCCCATCACATCCATGACCCCCAAGCCCCCAGGGGCTGCTCTGCCCTGCCCAGCGCCGGGCCAGTCCACCTGCCTCCAGGGTGGCGGGCAGGGCTCTTCCAGCCGTAGCCTCAGCTGGGCGGCGAGTCTGCCTGGCCCCCTGCCGTGGGGAGCCGCTGCGGGCAGTTTTGGGGGCTCCACCCTCCCTGCCTCTCCGCAGCCCCAACATCTGGGTCCAGCCCCACTGGCCAGGCCCTCCCTAGCTCCCCCCTTCACCAGCCGCCTGCCCCCAGGGCGCTGGGCTGTGGGGTGTGGGGTGTGCAGGCCCCAGGGCACCCCACTCCCCCACCCCCGAGGTGGGCAGCGAGAAGGGGGCGTTGGCCCCCCGCCTGCTGGGCCAGGCAGCTGTGTGGGGACTCCCCGCACCCAAGGGCCTGCGCCCCCACAGCCCTTTCTGTGTCCTCTGTGCCCGGCCCCGCCCGCCCCTGCGCCACGCTGGCACCGGGTCCCCCAGCACCCTCGGGCCGCCGGCGGCTGTGAGCTCTGGCCCCTCCCCCAACCTCAAAGCCAGTGGCCTGGGCCAGAGGGACAGGTCAAGGCCGGCGGCGGGGGAGGGGCGCACACCGGGCTGCGTGCCGAGCTGCAGGCCCCGCGGGCACAGCAGACCCCAA